ACCTTAATGATGACAACCTTTTGCACAAGCTCCACCTCCTGTGTCATGTGATTATTTTAGTGAAAAAAAAATCATGTTAAAATCTTCTTTGGAGAAAGCATACAGTCTTCTTTATATTTACAGCGAGCTGTACATACAACCAAACAAGTCAAAGAAGAGAAGGTTTTGTGTTACCTAAATTATAGTGAGCCTTCTGACTCCTACCAACATCCTTTCACCCTCTCCTCCCTACAGCTTCCAGAAACAGGACAAGGTAAAATAAGGAAAAACTATTAGCTTATAAATGTGGAGGCTTAATGCTGTCCATTTTATCCCACTGCCCTAAGCTGGTCATATTTTGAGGGCTCAATGAGGGAAAAACGCTGCTTAGCATGGATAGAGGAATCTCCAATGCCGGCTATTGCATTCTGAGCCCGTGCACACTGCTGTCAGAATACCCAAACAGTGTCTGCAACAGATTGGCTATAGTCACTATAGGTCAACAATTTTCCATCAACAAAAGTTGATTTTTCAATTGCGCTGAGCCAGCAGAGCCACCTGTGGATTGAATTTTGACAGATTCAGCAGAAAAAGGTCAAAATGTTATCTGTGTATCTCCAGCTTTTCACACTTCCCTATAAGCCATTGTTGTGACATCGCAGAGGTGCTGCAGGGTGCATCGTAGTGAGGTAGGGCAGTCTACTCATTTGAATGGGCTGCCTTACCACAGTTAAATTGCACTGACAGAAGTGTTAGCACCCTTTTTTTTTAAATTGTATCACACCACATAGCATGGTAATAGGTTACCAAGCAATGTGGTGCCATTCAATGCACATGTGATGCGATGCAATGTGGGATAGATGTTAACGGAGCCTAAGGGGTTGATTTACTAACCTTATAAACACACCACGAACATGTATACACCTCTGTAGTGTGTTCCCTCCCAGCATGATCTATGGGTGGAATCTAAACACCCTTGTAGTGTGTACACACCCAGCAGGTGTGTTGTGCAAAGCCAAGCATGAATTGCAAGGTGATGTTGTGTAAATTAGCTCTATGTTGTGTTGCTTGCGTTGATGAATGCAGGAATGTAAATGCATGAGCTAACCATTTTTGTCTAAACTGTGAAGCAGCATTATATATGCATCATGTGCATGATTTTTCCATATATGGCATTAGTGGAAATATGCTTTTAGAGACTTTTTGGTTGATAAATACGTTTTGCTGTGTGAAAATCACACGCACCTGCTGCGTGCGTGTGTTTAGGTTAGTAAATCACCCCCTAAGTGTCAGTATGGTAAACAGAGAACTGACTGTGCTATCACCAAGCTATATATTACATTAACAATGTTGTAAAGATAAGAGGATGTCCAGCCAATCTTCAACTGTACTGATAAACAAAATCAATAACAATTTATCTATCTATCTATCTATCTATCTATCTATCTATCTATCTATCTATCTATCTATCTATCTATCTATCTATCTATCTATTATGTATGTTATATACTCTGCTATGGCTTGAAAAGATACTAGTTCAGAACACTACTATAATGCATATATCTGGCTTGTACTAAAGCATGCTATTATTTGCTATGCTATTGCTATTTTATTAATAATTAACAATATATAACAGTCGGAACAAATCTGCCACAGTTTAGTCAGAAAGAGTGACCCAATGCGTATTATGATATGAGAGCAATGACTTATATGAGTTGTAAAAAACCTTAGAATATGTAGGGATATAAGGTGTTCTAAATATAGCATCATGACATATTTAAGTCAGATTTTTTACAGTGACACTAAACTCAGAAGTTACAGTAAATCTTAAAAATATGTTCAATAACCGCAACTATTAACAAAAATGTATCTTATGTGTGTATCACTCGGCTGTAGAGCCTCAAATCTTTTCTGAAATTGTGCTGACATTGTCCTTCCTTCTGGATGGTGGCCAGTTTTGTTCCCCATGATCCCTGTGTGTGTTGTAAAGTAGCCACTGCTCCAAACTCTCTCCCATGAAGGACTACATTCTCACGTTTAGTTTACTAATTGGTATTGAGATTGTAGTCCATCAGGGGAGCGAGTTTGGAGTGGTGGCTACTTTACAATACACACAGGGACCATGGGGAACAATAGTGGCCACCCTCCAGAAGGAAGGGCAGTGTCGGCACCAATTCAGAGATGATTTGAGGATCTACAGCCGAATGATACACAAATAAGATACATTTAACTCCTGAGTTTAGTGTTACTTTAATGTACACCAGCCAAAACCTTTAGACTGCAACAAATCTCTCTTCTTCAGTAAAACATGGAATGAAGAAAACCTCTCTCAGGTTATTATTACTGTCTTTGGGTTTCTGTCCCAGTGACAACTGTTCCCTTCATTATATCGTCAGATGAACAGGAAGTGAAGTATAATCTCTTAATGCGGTCATGGACAGCAATCATTTCTTGACAGAAGTATTTACTCTTTCCAAGTCTAGTACCCCCAAAAAAGCTTTGGCTGGAGTAACCACAACCAATGAAATAATTATATAATCAGTTCCTCTGAGGTATGTTGATTGCTGGTATCTGTATTTTTAAAATGTCTGAGATGTATCCTATGTGACTTTTACCATAAAAATGAGTTCCTCTTACAGAGTTCATATCCATAGTACAGGATGACAGAAAAAACGTTGTACTATTGTGCTGTACAATAAGGAAGCACCAATTCTGCTTTTATCCTTCAACTATGGCTTTATTTTACCAGCTATTCAGTTCCTCCTAACTATAGGAAACCCTGATTAAATGGTATTTGAAAATTACCTGCATTTTACCAATCACAGCTTTAGCAATAGTAGTTCAGTTGTGTGCTATACTATTAGAAAACATATTCATTACACAAAAGCACACAAACTTCATAATATTAGAATCTCAATGGCTACAAAATGACAAAGCCCCCTTCAAAGTGACAGGGTGACGTGTCCCCTTCATGACTGTCTAAATTGGTGATAATCAGTACACCTAAATAAATGAAGCCACTAGCACATTAAACCTTGTTAGACAAGGACTAGAATGCAGAATTACCATGCATTATCAGCCCAAACCAAAACCAAAAGTCCAAACCCAACCAAAACTTAGTTTTACTTTTGGATTGAAAAGAGGAAGGGTTAGAATGCCTGTCAGGTTTTAATTGCTGTACATCAGCATTAGTAGAGCTTACTGTCAGATTTTTAAATGGTGTCTTTGACTCTGTGAAGGAGCTTTCTCCTCTGCGCTATACTAGAAAATATATTTGTAATTCATGCTAGGTCCCCATCGGTGGGATTTACCCACACTTCTGTCTGATGCTCACTGTGGAGAGTTCTCATAAAAATGGGTACACATTCCAGCAATCATGGGCAGGACCGTTGTATATCCTTTAATTCCCACTGGGTCAGTTTGCTGGTGGATGGAATGTATGTAGGGAGGGTCCACCCCATGTGCTCCCCAAGTGTCCTAGACCCTATGCAGTGGTCCAGGCAAAAAGCAGCAATGCTGTTTTGCAGCCAATTCTGAACTGAACAAGACCCAGATACATTTGTGCGTCCCTAATTAATTATTATATATTGCAATTTTTATTGAAATTGCATCAGTACTTTATTTATTGTTGGTGCTCATTACTTTATTTAGTCTCAGGTCTACCAATGCTTGATGTCAATTTTACAATGACAAAATTATTTTTTTAAGGGATTTAAATACATTGTGTATAATGTTTGAATTGATGTTGACTATATTTTATTTTTTTACTTTTGCGCTTTTGTTATAATATTTTTTTGGGTTAGGGGATTCATATCTTTTGAAGAAACTGTAAAGTTTTGTTCTTTAATAAAACTATTTAGGTGCAGTAATTTTATTTTATTTGATCATGTTTTAAGCTGACCAAGCCAACCTTCAGTAGTATAGTACCCCTGTGTAGTAACAATAAAACACTGTCAGGATTCAAATCCTTCTACACTACATCCAAAACTAAAAAAACGTTTGGCTGGAAATTAGTCTTAAAGTATTTTAAATCCATTAATCAGGATGTATCAAGTTAAAATCCTTAATAGCTTAAAATAATTTTCTAAACGTTTGTTAATGACAGCTATACTACATCTTACATGGCTTTTCTCTTATATAAAAGATTCTATGGATGTATGGTGTATTGTGAACCTACACTGATAGTCCCAAACAAGGAAATATTACTAAAAAAGTAGTTGATAATCTGGAGAGTCAGGTATACAGTCAAAGACAGACAAAGGTAAAGCTTAGCACCCATATTGCACAAACGAAAATGTTGACTCAGTTGGTACCTCTATATATGAACAGTTATTATATCAAACTATCGCAGTATATGACCATATAAAAGACTAAAACAAATACTAGCTCCTTAGCACCTCTAGCACTCGACACATGATTGTGTTATAACATCATAACCATAGAACTAAGCAGGAAATAGAGTCCAAACATTCCAAAAACAGTAAGATATATTACTAAAAGAAGAAATTATTGGAGCATCGACCCTTTAGGACTGAGGGCCCTGGGGAATATGCAGCCTGCCACTGAACAGTTGCATTGGCTCACATGTATGAAAGTGTCTAAAAGAAATGAGTGCTCTGCCCATAGCAACCCATCAATATGTGCCTTTTAACACTGTAGAAATGTTCTATGAATACTTAGCAGTTCGTGTTTTAGACACCTTTCTACATGCTGGCCTGTCACATTGGGGGTCTGGCAGAGAGGCATCTTAGCATCTAGACAGATAGGGTTGTAGCAGGGTTGTATAGCACATACCACTTGCTGCCTCTGAAATAGAAAGGATTCCATTGTTATAAACTGTATGAAGATACTTCTGAAATGATGCAGGGTGACATACACTAGATTAATACAAGTACAAATGCATTTGCTCTATGGAATAGGTAAACACTGCTATCAGATTTGTGTAGGAATAAATATTGGTGTTATATCATTCAAAGAACATGGACAAAATAACAATAAAAAAACACTGTTTTCAATGCTGGGTGATTTGAACCCACTATGCTGCATTCTGCAGAGATTTCTGTTTTGTATTTAGGTTTATAAAGGTTGTGAGAGTGCTGTAGACACATCGTGCAGTGGCTTGTTGCATGGACAGCATGTTAAACAGGTGACAATGGATGACACTATATAGATGAGGTGCGCTATGTTGGTCTGTGATTGATGTCCTTAATCAGTCAGGGACTCTCCTTAGACTCGGACATAGTAATACAACAGCTCCAGCCACTGCCAGGAGGAAGAGAGGATTCCACAGAGCAGCCTGGGAAAGAGAAAGAAGGGGAGGTAAGGAAAACCATCATCAACTCATTGGGGGCATTTATTAAATGGCGGTGGACACCTATTTATTAAATCATACAAAGCTAACTCAATTTTTGATATGTCTGCTTCTCCTCACCACTTTTATTGGCATTCCCCTTGTTTAACAGTGCAGCATATTTCTAAACGAGAATTGGTTGATTTGCTGATCAGTCGTCGCTACATGTCCATCAGAAAATGATTTGCATTTATAAGGCACCTTTGCTATGCAGACTTGCCCATGCATTTATTCCAGACTGGGATGGGGAAGTTTTAGAATATCTGCTTGGTCTTTTTTTGCTGTCTGTGTCTCTATTTGGGAAACAGCACTTACTTCATATCCTGTTGTAATCCTTTGAGTTTTCTTTTATATTTCCCTTCTCTAGGGTTTATTCTACACATTTCAAATTGAAGTTAGATACACTGTTGGCAGTTGTGTAATGGATTCCTAAAATGAAAGGATGGAGAATGCTCAACAGAGATTGGAAACCGGAGACTATAGCCATGGCCTGGTGTCACAGGGACAGCAAGTGAATGGTAGAAAACAAATGGTGACTATTGCCCACCCAGTGATGACTTTTACTTGGGCATAGAAGAAGGGGCAATCTCTGCAACAAAGACACAGCAATAAAAACCTGGCACAGGTTCTAACCTCACCCTACTGTCACCAAAATAATTTAATCTACAGAATAAATAGCTAAATATAATTCCCAAGTTTATTTATAGGAAAAATGTTGAAATATCATGGATACAAACTATGCAGACATTTCAGGAACACATCGGAATTGCCCTTTTTAATATTAGAGTGGTATACTGGAAATAAATAGTTTCTAACACACAGCTTTATGTTCAAAGTGATGTAAACTTATATTTAGTCAGTTACCTTAGATAAGTGTAGCAATTATATTAGTTCCCCCTTCGCCCTTCTGTTCCTTTTCCTAGGGTAAGCAACATAGTCAACTGTACCCTTGTTTCCGAGTGTTTCATAACACTGCTCTGTTGGTTATATTGTTAATGGGGCTCTTTGGAGATAGGTTACTTGCTGCCAAAAACAACTAGCATTAATTTGTAATTTCCAATTCCTCCACCGTTATATATTCAGAGGCAGATTATTTTTGTAGTTAGTTGCACATGCTGGATCTCAAAGACAGACTTATGATATATGTAGCTGGAAGGGAGTATGCAGGGAATTGTAATGCAATAGAGCAGGGGTAGGCAACCTTGGCAATCCAGCTGTGGAAAAAATACAAATCCCATCATGCCTCTGCCTCTGGGAGTCATGTCTGTGGCTGTAAGAGTCTTGCAATGCCTCATGCAACAGGTAAAAGTACATAATTCTGCTCTCTGACACTGTAGTAATTGCAGTGCTAACAAATAATTGGATTTCTGCAGCAGAGAAGACTAATTGGGGTATTATAAAGACAGCAGTATTTAACCATGTATGAAAAACCTTTATAAAGGATTTTTCATTTAAAGTAAGTCCCTTAAATAAAATTCTAATAAACATATTACCTCTAAAAGGCAAGCAAATATTTACTTCTCCCGCTGCCCACAGCGCTGAACACCAATTTACTGAAGATAAATTGTCCCCTTAATTCTCTTCAGAAACCAACACTTGCGGGACTGTCAATCTCCTGTGTCCCCTGAAGTGCTTAGATGTTCCTCCTGCTGACCTCCAAATCACTATGTGTCCTGCAATGACATGGAGGCTGGAAGAAGGAAACACTGGGGGACTTCATCCATAGGAATGATTGCTTTTGTTGATGGGCTTTGGGCTTGTGACAATGGCATAAATTTGACATCAGTTTGAGATGCTTCTGAGATCATTCAGAAGTCATTGACAGGTGCATTGACTATGTGCTATAAGCCTCTTTAAATGTGAGTGATCAGACCTAAAGAGACTCTGTCACTAACCTAAACGACTGCAAGTGAAAGCACAGAAAAATCAAGCAGTTTCAATAATTACTTGCAGTGTTTTCCTTTCCAAAAACAAATTTATATTCACTTGCGATTTGACTTGCGGTGGAATTCAACCACTCTAGAAAGCATCAATTCTCCAGCACAAACACAGTTTCCTTTCTCTCCTACCAAGTCCTAGCCCTTTCCTCTTCTACTTTATGTGCTGGCCCAACTCCCCTGCCAATCACCTCACAACCTTATATAAACTTTTGTGTAGCTGCAAGGGTGCGAGCAAAAGGGAATACTTCACAATGTCCCTTGAGTGCAAGTCCTGAGTCTTGTGGGATGCTGACACATCTAAGATGGTGGTGCCCAGCAGCAGTCTCAGGCCTTTTGGATGTCTACATAACTGTAGGGACCCTGTCCTAAGCTGGAGTGTCCCTAATTTAAAGTTAGTGTGCTTTGCAGCTAGGCTGTAACCATATTGAGCTGTGTTTACATTGTTCTGGGCTCTGTTGGTTCTTCTAAGCTCAGTGTGTTGATTACTGCTGCCTGTTACAGTTGAGGAGTTTCCAGTAGTCAGTATGGGAAGTTATGAATATTTACCAAACCCAACCATCTTTGTTCAGAGGTATTGTTTGGGGAGATAACACATGTTTAGGGCACCATTCCAGAGGGTTCTCTTCACCTCCAGAGCTTTTGCCTGAAGAGGATGTCTGCATAGAATGTTCTCTTTCTTGGGCCTCACCTCTGCCTGAGGCATATGCCGGAGGCCCAGGACCTAACCTGTGTGCTTGTATATCTGCATGGAGCACGCTAAAGGATGTCTGCTTGGAAGGAGAACCTGTAAAGAGTCTTTTCCCTGAAGAGTGTTGTAGAGTTGTAGAGGAGCTAGGTAGAAGCTGCTGCTCTACTTGCAAAAAGGATTAATTGCCCACAAATTAAGCTATCTTTGACTGCTATCAAAGGGTCAAGGGACAGATTGATTATAGAAGAGATTCACACAATTTGAAAAAGACTGTGACTGCTCTTACAGGTTCATAGATCTGTGTTGCTGCTGTCACAGAGCCGACAATTACCAAGAGGCTGCACTTAAAGGACCGACTGCTGCTTTCATACATATACATGTCCTATTTTTGTCATTTTTGGGTATCCTGTACCCCTCTTTCACATAATTGAGTTCAGATATAAATGGTCAAAAGGCTAACGTGACTGGCATGCAGTTGTTTCTTTTTCACCCCACCATTTGCCAAGGATCTAACCCTTAGAGTTAATTGTTAGCATGCCACACCATCTTAGGGGTCATTTCTAACCACCCTTGGAGGAGTATTGCTACACAAACATGGCATTTACAGGTAATAACATGCATAGAATACAGTAAATGCAATGATGTTAAAATGAATGGTTTGCCAACAGGGTCTCTTAAACACCACTGAATAAATATAAGCACCAGCCCATTGTTAGGTTTGCTTGGGATTGTAGAATGAAAAAAAGAAGAAAAAAGGATAAAAAATGCAGAAAAAGGCAAGAGCAAATGGCAAAAAAATATATGGCATCCAGACAAAAAAAGTTTCATAAGCAGATAAGACAAAGGTATAACTGTTAGTGTGTACTCATCACAGTTAATTTGTGCTTCCAAACCTTGTTATGAAGAGACCATTTAATCACAAATTAGAACACATGAGTTGTGAAAGATACAGGGCCCAGTAAAGGATGGACACCGGCACTCCAAAGCAAGTTCAGTACGCGTTTATTAACGTACTAATTGCAAGTAGAACACTCTATACAACGTTTCGGGGGGTGTCACAGGATCCCCTTCATTAGGCAAACAAGTCATGATACAGGGCCCATTCACACTTAAGCGCTCCATTGCTTTGCATTAACACACCTGCGTTACAGCACAGGTTTATTCATTATGTATGAGCTTCCAACACAACATGATGGATAAAAGATGCACATGATCCTTTTTAGCAATGCTGTACACCACAACACACTATGTGCATTGTGGTGTGCTGTGATGCGTTGTGCACTCTACTGTTTTTAGTGTACATTGCCACAAAGCACAGTGTGAATGAGCCCAAAATAATTAAAGATGGAAAACTTAGCAACATGCAGCCATCAATACAAAGCGAGTTACAAACAAAGCCAAAATGTACTTACTGTTATAAAGTTTTATTGGAAAATTATAATGATCACAAATGTGCACAACAGTAGAATATAAAATCTAGTTAACCTAGACTTCTTTGCAGTCTTGTGCCCCTTTAAGTGAACCATACAAACAGTATGATGTGGCATGATATTGTTGTAAATTATGATTGAAATTACAGATATGGGCTTTTTCAAAAAAGAAAAGTGCAAATTGCATTAACTCATAATAGATTAGAATTCATTCTTCACATAACTGACGTAAAGTAAAGCTGCCATTGAGAATATATGAGTACCGCCACTGCTGCCTTTCTTTGACCCTCTTACAACAACATTTTGCGTCGTTGACCCTCAAAAAAATAAGCAAATCAGTAAGGGACTGCATATTTGTTCCTGCTCAGTGAGTTATTAGTCAGTATTACAGGTCATCAACGTCAGTCTTCACATTTCTTATATGATGGGTTTTCTCTAATTATTCTGAAAGCTAATTGGCTGCTGTGAATTACAGTAGATTGCATATTGTTGATGCCCTTAGTACTGTTATTTTAAACAAGCCTGTAAGTCTGTCCTGTTTCCACCGGTGCTGAGGCCTGTAGGGCAGAGTACTGTTTAAATATGCTTCAGATAATGTTGTGATCCTGAGGCGGTTCATGTGACTTTGATGTAAGATACATTGCTTGGTCTCTGGTTCCCACTGAAAATGATCTCTACAGTTGCTGTTGTCCATTGCAAAATGTTTTTTTCTAGTCCAATATAAAAATATACAGTATGGTCCAGTTGCGAGTTTCCAGGGAGAGGTAAATGCTGTTCGTATGTGTTGTGTTGTACATCAATTTCTAAACTCAAGTCAAAAAAGTGCACTTCCATGTGATTTCTATCACCTGTATACTGCCTAATGCCTGAAAAAGCAGGTATTCCCAT